AAACCCCATCTCAAAAAAAAAAAAAAAGAGTTCTCAGAACCCTAAACTGGCTTATTAAGGAGAGCCCCTTATTTTGCTCTTAGAGGGGATTCAGCACAAAAGAGGTCAAGACCAGGCCTCAGGAGCCCCTTCACTGTGTGGTTGAGAGCGGGTGTGTGTGTGTGTGTGTGTGTGTGTGTGTGTGTGTGCGCACCCCCCCCACAAAGTGATGCAGAGAGGGGGCCTGCAGTTTCTGTGTCTCTCTCTCTCTCTCACACACACACACACACACACACACACACAACACACACAGACACAGCAGCTCTCCGTTTAATTTTTGAGCAGAAGGCATAAGAAGGGGTAGCCTCCGATTTCTATACGGCAGAAACTCAGGCAAAGTGATGACTTGTAAGAGGATTGACAAGGCAAAGAAGGTGGGAGAAAGGGAACTGGTTGAGTGTTCTGTGAGTAGAAGCTCAGTTCCTTACCTTGCCTTCTTTTTCCCCCCCAAGGGATCCTCCCACCTTAGCCTCCTGAGTATCTATCCCTACCCCCGCCCCACCTTTTTTTTTTTTTTTAACCTTCAAGGCTGGTATTTTGTATCAACAAGTACAACTTTGAAAGCAAGACCTTTCTGTTAGCGTCTTGGTGCTGCTTTGCAAACCAGGAACAACTTGGGCCTTGGCCCGATTGTGGACTGCAGTGATCTACTTGTCAGTGTCTCCATTCACCCTGGGTTTCTGAAATGCCTTCATCTGAGAACAGACATTTCAAAGGATGCCATTGCTGTTCCTTACATTTTTATTATTTCTTTAGGAGATCAAAAGTTAGATCATCATTGTCATTAGAATCAGATGAAGGTGAGGAAAGGGACTTAGAAGATCCCAAAGACAGAGTATGAAATTTGATCTATACTGATGCATGTAAAACCTCACTTTCCTCAGACTGCAGCACTGAAAGCATCATGAGAGGGTGCCTCTCCAGTGCGAGGGGGTTGGGATGCTGTGGAGAACATGGTATGGCCCTGGGAATTGTGAGCGGAGATCTCTCCTAATGCCTGGGTCAGGAGGCACTGCTTGGAGGAGATGACACCTGCCTTATGGTGGAGTTAGCTCTAGAAAGGCACTCCAGACAGAAGGTGGGGACAGGGCTCATCTGAGGTTGAGAATGGTGCAAGGGAGGAGTGCAATGTGGGGAATGGGGAAAGAGTGTCCTGGGATGTCCACAGAGGCCAGATCTCGCGGGGCCTTTTGTGCCATGGTCAAGAGTTTCGACTTAACCTTGACGGTAGGATAGGAGGGTTTTATAGGAAGAAGAGAGTTTGGCGGGGAGATAGCTCTGTCCTTACCTGTCAGGAGTAGGAGGTGGGTGCAGATGGCCTGGGCACACCTTCACAGGTTATGGGATCAGCATGTATCTGGAGGTAGGAGGTACTGCGCAAGTCTGGGCTGGTAAAACTCAGCTTTCTGGAATCAAGAAATGCAGTGGCATCCAGGAAAGTGCCTACAGAAAGTCCAGCCACCTAGTCTTGCTAACGCACCCTGCCCCATCTGGCTTTTGATCTCATTCATTTTTCAAATCCTCCAGGGTCCAGCAAGGGCTACAGGGTCATCAATAAGGAAACCAAAGACAGACCTGCTCAAAGGCAGAAAACAGCTGAAATTCAGAACATCCTGTCAGCCAGCCTTAGATACTGGGATTATAGGGGGATGAGAACCCTGGCCTCTTAAGGACATTGACATTTCACATTGTCACGTCCCCAAGCTAGCTGTGATCCTCCCTCTCCCCCTCCCTCCCTCTCTGTCTCACCATTTGGGCAACCGGAGCACTTGGTTTCTGTTCGTTACCATATGCGCGAGCCTGTGTACTCATAGCAGCAGCACTTGGAGAATAGTAAACACTCAGAGACAAACTTCATTTTATAGGAACAACTGCAAATGTGTGGTAAATCTATCTCCAAGTCCTTCTCAGGCCTCTCACCTTGGAGTAGGATAGATTAGTATGGTTAGCATATCTAAAAGTGAAAGGTATGAAATTTCTAGAGAAATATCTCCCTGGAATCTCCTCACATTGGTGGAGAGTCCTGGATTATTGCATCTATGTTTCTTGAGCAAAGAGATCCTATGTGCTAATTTTCCTGGATGACTAACTCCAACTTTCAGAGCCAAAGCTGTCATAGGAGGCACAGTGCCTAAGTGTGATCACTCCTTGGGGACATCAGGGTGAGCCGGTTTGACCAGGGCAGGTCTTTTACATAATTCACTAGACAGAAGTGCTTAAAAGGTTAAGTCATACTGAGCAAGCTTCCTCCCCCACCCTGGGGAAGCTTCTAGGCTAGGCCAAAGCTCACTGCCAGCAGGGCCTGGGGCCAGGACTCCGCCTAGGTCCTGACTGCAGATAGGATTAGGAAAAGGGAGAAAGGTCACAGAACATGCTAACAACCATTTGTAATATGTCCTCTTCACTCCCCTGATCCCCCACCTTTTCTCAATTCCAACCTTTCTCTTCTCTTTTTAGGAAACATCTTTACACAGCAGCCGAGTTACTACAATGACCTAGATGAAACCATGCCTACCATCCTTCAGGTACCAGCTCCTAGCCCTGCCCAGGGGAGGTTGAGCTTGGAGGACAGGCCACCTCCCTGACTTTCCTGGAAGAGCTGAGGAAATGTTTATTCCCTGACTCCCCCATTTCCCCAGACAGTCTCTTTGTCTTACCTCTGACTACACCTCTTTAAAATTTGCCCTTTTCCCTCTTGAACAAGACCGAAGTCTGAGGGTTGCTGGCTGGCGCTCATACAGAAAGAGTTTGGCTTGCATTTTGTGTTGCTTGCCAACAGCCATATGCTTCTAAGGCTATCCCTGTAAGAGACCAGTGTTTCTCAAAAAAGAACTTTAAAGTTTTATAAAATTATTTCACAAAATAATGTTCATTATAGAAAATTTGGAAAAGAAACAAAAGAGGAACATTACTGTTCCCCCATAATTCTACCACCAAGCGATATCCACTGTCCACGGTAAGTTTTGAAATCCTTACATGCTAGGCTCCTTAAAGATGGCACAGTCAGTTCAGTACCTACGATGGACTCTGTTTTCCACTCACTGTTGATTTGTCTTATTTCAATGTAGTTTCCGTAAATAGGCATCTACAGGGGATTGTGTTATGCATTGCTAAAGGTATATCTTAAATGTTCATTATCATACTTGCCTGGCCTGTACAGTCAGATAATATCTACAGGATTCTGGGGGCTATTTTTTTTTTTATAAGACAGTTTCTTGCTCTATCACCGAGGCTAGTGTGCAGTGGCACAATCATAGCCTTGAACTAACTGCTGGGCTCAATTGATCTCCCACCTCAGCCTCCCAAGTAGCTGGGATTACAGGTACATACCATCTTGCCCAGCTAATTTAAAATTTTTTGTAGAGATGGGGATCTCACTATGTTGCCCAGGCTAGTCTTGAACTTCTGGCCTCAAGTGATCCTCCATCCTTGGCCTCCCAAAGTTTGGGGATTATAGGAGTGAGCCACCACACCTGGCCCCAGGTTGTCTTTTTAATCCTCTTCACACTCTTACAAGAAGGATGCTCTCATCATCTCTGTCTTACATAGTTTTTAGTCTGACCCCACTCTTAAAGAAAGTCATTGTCTCAGCTTGTATCCTGGAAACATGGGTAAATATTCAGAAACTCCAAGGCAGGATTGGGAGGAAGTGGGGGTAAAAAAAGAAACTCCAAGGCAGTTTTCAGATCACCCGACCCTGGCTGCAGCCAGGGGTTCCAGCCCCGGTTCGGTATGATGTGGGAGAGCCCGTTCTTGTCTTTCACAGGTCTTCAGCAATATCCTCCAGCACTGTGGTTTGCAAGGGGATGGGGCCAGTAGCACACCCCAGAAGCTCGAGGAGAGGGGCCGGTTGACCCCCAACGACATGCCTCTCCTGGTAATGTTGCCCTTCAGTGCAGTCTCTTTCCTGCTGGGTCCCTACAACCAGGGCCTGTCTACCCGGAGGCTGGGAAGATTGCCCTAGTAGACAATCCAGTGGCCTCTTCCCTGCCCAGGGCCCCTTCCCCCAGTGCAGTGAGCAGCCATTTATTTCCCATCACACAGGTTTAGAACATTTCAGCTGGCTTGCGTTTCTCTCTGAGAGCTTCATTTACAAAGTAGTGGAAAGAACCAGGGAATAAGAATTCAGAGTCCTCATTTATTTCAGTTCGACATGCTCATTTATATGTTATGCATTGAGCCAGTCATTCATTCAATGGACTTATATTGAGGAATCCCCAGCATGTGCCAGACCCTGTGCTAGGCCTGGAGGTAAAGCAGTAAACAAAAGCAGACTGGCCCCTGTGCTCATGGAATTTCGAGTCTAACAGGGATGACAAATGGAAGGCAGACATTCAGGAAGCCTCAGCATGTGCCACATGCTGCACTAAGCCCTGGGGATAGAACAGGAACAAGGCAGCTATGAGCTGCCTCCTGGAGAATGTGATCTTGTTTCAGAAGGGCATGTGGCAGGCACTGTGGGAACAAATCATTTTACCCCTCAGAACCTGTTTCCTTATCTGTAAAATAGAGATTCTCAACAGCTTCCCAGCCTACTTTTCAGAGTTGTCATGAGAACCAGGAGAGTATGTAAGAAACTTAGAAAGTGTTTTGTACACCCTCTTCAAGATGTGAAAAACCTTAAATATTAAGTACAAGAATATGTACTTAATATTCTTGTCCTGCCTCGGATGTTTCTTCTTTCTATAATGTCTTCAGATTTAAGAGTTGGTTTTTCTTTAGCTTAGGAGAAGAAATTGCATTATCTCAGAACTGGAAGTAACCCAGCGATCATTGGGTGTAAAGCCATTGGGGCTACCATAGCAAACTGAGACTTAGAGAGGTTAGGTGACTTACCCAGATCGTGCTTCTGAAGATGGACCAGCCAGGCTTTGTCTGGGACCTCCAGTGTTCTCTTCCTCCCGTGTAACCTCCTGCCTGTTTGGGACTCCGATTGTGTTAATGTTGTCTCAGACGCTCTGCAGATCTGTATGTGTGGGCAGAGGAGAATAACACAGTGTATTCTTTTGGCAACAGGAATTAAAGGACATTATTCTCTACCTTTGTGATACCTGCACCACACTCTGGGCCTTTCTGGATATCTTCCCTTTGGCTTGCCAGACCTTCCAGAAGCACGACTTTTGTTACAGGTATGGTGGTAGTTCTGGCTGTTGAAACAGAGGTTCTGGCTTATGTACTTATTTAACAAATACTTACTGGATGCTTAGAATGTGCTAGTCCCTCTTCCAGCCTGGGGATGCAGCAGTGAAAACAACAGATAAGCCTCCTACTTGTGTGGAGCCTGCATTTTAGAAGCACTTCCATTTTTGGCCAAGACCAGGATAGGGGAGGGGAAGAAAAACCAACACAACCAAGAATACAGTAGTTGCAATTTAGTAGAGTAGCCCAGCGGGGAACATACACAAGGAAACAACAGGAGTGCTCCAACGTGGGGCTGGGAGATGACCCTTAAAGGATGTCTTGAAGGAACAGGTATCTTCCAGACAAAGAAAGGTTCCTATAGCAGGAAGGGCATCCTAGGCAGGTGAAGTGAAGCATCCAGAGGCCCAGAGTGTGGTTGGGAGAGAGCCGGGGAGTGAATTGTGACATGACGCAGAGGGTGGTGACACACAGGATGATGGGAAAACAAGCTAGTAACAGCCCACTTTGGGTAAGTCAGTAGAAGTCAGATCGTGAGGAGGCTGGGGTGTGCTGGCAGGTCCTGTATGCTGTAGGCAGTGGGGAGCCTCTGGAGGCTTTTATCCAGAGGAGTCATAGAAAGATCCTGGTGGGATGGAGACAGATGTGGAAGAGAATATGAGCCAGGGAGGCAGACCCACTTTGCCCTCTTAGCACCAAGAGCATCTGTTGCTTATGCAGTAAGAAAGGGGCGGGCATGGGCATTCCCAAGCCAGGGTGAAAAGGCTGGCAACCTGCATATTGCTTGGCAGTTGTGGGCATGGGCCTCTTCCCAGTGGTCTCTGATCATCACTCTAGCAAGGCATCTCTCCTCGCCATTTGTAGCAGCTTCTGGGAGCTGCCCAACTCTGTCCATTCAGCTGCCTGTCCATTCTGTCATTTACTAACCCATTCGAAACATTTATCTAGCACTTAAATGTGCCAGAGATGGCAGCTGGTGCTGTGACCCCTCCCTGGTCGCCTCAGCTTATAAAAATCAGACATTAGGGTTGTTGAGCCTCCCAGAGAATGTTAGGATAATGTGCTGCCCAGCATTTTCCCCAGAAGAGAGAGGTATGTAGCTGTTCACTTTTTTTAAAAAAGGTATCTTTTCTCATGATAAAAGCAGCAGGTGCTTGTAGGACGTTTGGAAAATCCAGAAAAGCAGAAAATTAGAGATCATACTATTCTTAGAATTTTGTACCCTCCTTATTTTCGCTTATCATAGGCATTTTCCCATTTTGTTAAAGTGTTTCCCCAAATGTAGCACAGATTGCTTTTGAAAGGCTCTTTGGAGACAGGGGGAGGAGTAAGTTTTGGAAGGGCTGACTTTTCTGCAAGGGACAGCAGAGGCAGGGGAGAGGCTGTACCCATCTCTGGGTGAAGAGGAAGAAAGGGAAACACTTTTGACTAAAGGCAACACTGCCTTTGACCCACAAACAGCCTGGGGCTGACCCAGCCTGTTCCAACTGTGCTGGAGGCCAGGAACATCCTGCTGAACAAATGCAGCCACCTCAGTTCCACGGAACTCTCTGAAAGTGTTTACTGTTGCCCAGTCAGCTCTGTTGATAATCTCTCTCAAAACAACCTTTTTCCTCCTTCCTCACCCATCTACTTAAGTATAGCTGAGTATATCTCTTTCTGCCCTTTAACTTTATGAATAAATAATACATTCACATGGTTCAAAACTCAAAAAGTATAAAATGCACACTGAAAAGTCTCCCTTTCCACTTCCCCAATTCTATTCTTCACATACAACTATCATCATTAGGTTTTTTTTGTGGAATTTTCCAGAGATATGCAAATATATATGCATATATGAGTAACTATGCACATTATATATCTCCCTCCTTTTAAAAAAGTTAAGGCTGCCATATTATGGGTATTTACTGCTTGCATTTTACTTTTTTACTTAACAGTGGTCCCATATCAGTGCATTAAGCACCCTTTCTCTAATGTCTTTGGTATGGCTGGGTAGAATTCCACTGTATGGAATACCAGATCCCATAGATGGTCCTTCAGATTTTTTCAGTTGTTTGCTATTACAAAAATATACTACAGAGGCCAGGCGTGGTGCCTTGCGCCTGTAATCCTAGCACCTTGGGAGGCCTAGGTAGGTGGATCACTTGAGGCCAAGAGTTCGAGAGCAACCTGGCCAACATGGTGAAACCCTGTCTCTACTAAAAATACGGAAATTAGCTGGGTGTGGTGGCACATGCCTGTAATTCCAGCTACTCGGGAGGCTGAGGTGGGAGAATTGCTTGAACCTAGGAGGCAGAGGTTGCAGGGAGCAGGAATTGTGCCACTGCCCTCCGGCCTGGATGACAGAGTGAAACTCTGTCTCAAAAAAACAAAAATTACAAAGAATAACTTTGCACACACATCATTTTGTACCTTGCAAGTATATCTGAGGAATCATTCCTAGAAGTAGACTAGCAGGGACAGATGGTATGTGCATTTTTAATATTCGTAGATCTTGCCAAATCGCCCTCCATAGGGGTTGTTCCAATTTACTCTCCCACCAGCAACTTATATTGGCAACAGCTGAACCTGTTTAGGCCAAACTGCCCTCTCTGTCATTTTCTGGACTATGCTGTGGGCCTAGCAGGGCCCACCATTTTTGGCATAGTTACTCTTTGTTACGTATAGCATTGCAGTAGGATGCCTTGCCAGAAACCAGCCAATTGACAGACACGTATTTACAGACGACTTGCTCCAAATTCAGCACTGACCTAGGCACATAAGCTGTAGTTCCAGCTTTGGGAAGCTTAAGATGTTTGGGGGAAGAATTATACCACAGAAAAGAGATAGCTGCAGTTTCACTTGCCAGGGCAGGTGTATTCCAAGTGCAGTGCATCTAGTTCTGGAAAGGAGGAATTCACATGAGTGAGCATGATCAGGAAGTGCACAGGGAGGAGGTGAGCCTGGAATGCTGCATGGAGGAGGGAGAGAATGAGAAAGAAGAGGAGAGCAGTGGCCAGCATTAGCCTGAGAGAAAGCCAGAAGGCTGCGGGAGTACTGATCTCTGGATGTTGAGTGGCTGTGCAGCTGGGATGGAGAGTTTGAATTTGAGTTGGGAAGGGGTGGTGTGAAATTGCCAAGGTGAAAAGCAAGATTGACTATACTGTGACTGGTATGGATGTACCAGAGAGAATAATTATGGTTTGCTGTCGTAGGAGGTAGGGAGCTGCCAGCAGTTGTTTCTTTTCTTTCTGTTAGTATAATTATATTTATTTGAAAATTTCATATAAATTATTTTTAGTTGTGTAATTTTCTTTTGTTTTTTTGAGACACAGTCTCACTCTGTCATCCAGGCTAGGGGTACAGTGGCTCGGTTTCGGCTCACTGCAACCTCCACCTCCCAGATTCAAGCAATTCTCCTGCCTCAGCCTCCCCAGTAGCTGAGATTACAGGTGCCTGCCCCCACGTCCAGCTAATTTTCATATTTTTAGTAGAG